TTTTGCTGGTTTAATTTCAGTTTTTTTGCTAAAACCAGTGTTACAGTAAAGTATTATAACACTCTCTGTGACACCAGCGACAAAAACAGACCTAACACTAACTATATGAAACATTCAAAAAAAAAAATCAGAACTAGGAAACATACTAAAAATGGTAACAAGGAATGCGGGGGAAATGGTAATGACTTTCTTTCTGGTGGCTCGGCAATGGCGGTTTGGTAGTGGCTCGGCAATGGCGGTTTGGTAGTAGCTCGATGGTGGTGAGGAGAGGAAAGGGGGAAAGAAGAGAGAATAAAGGAAGATTTTGAGGCATTGAGAGAGATTAATGGCTTTTAAGGTCTAGATTTGGACTAATTTAGGGATAAAGGCCGGAATTGTAGAGAAAGAATGAGAGGTTAGTGAGGGAAAGTGTTTTGCAGAAAATGGAGAAAAAGAAGGGTTTTGTGCAAATGAACAACCAATAGCAGGAAAACTTATAACCAAGGACCTAAAGAACTTGGGCCCGTCCCTGGTCAATATTGGATCAAACTATAGGGGGCCGTCTGATAAAAAAAATTAGAAAACACTAGTCCCGTTTAGTTCGTTAATTCGAGATTTTAATTCGAATTGAGATGTGACTCTATATGAGAGTTTTTTACTGTAGTAAAAAAGTTAGATGTGACTGTTTTTAAAAGTTTTTTACTGTAACAAAACTTGAATCGGTGAAATGAATGGAGGTGGCAAAAAAGATGCCGCTATAGATAATATGTTGAAAGTCATATTAGTGAAAAAGACGGTTTTGAGGTAGTTCCAACGTTAAGAAAATCATTGAAGAAAAACAAAAGCCATAGCGGCAAAAAAGATGCCGCTATAGAGAATATGTTGAAACACTCAGTTGCGAGAAAAATATTTTTTTGCAACAGGTTATAGAAAACGTTGGCCAAGGAATTGATTCTTGCAATGACTGTAGCGGTGAGTTTTTCCGCCACTACTTACCTAGCGTACCACCTCTACTAGAAAGGTTTTTAAGACCATCTCCGATGTAAATGTTAATGCTAATTGTATACTTAACTTTAAAAAGTATAATTTATGTTATTTTCATTTTTGCTTCAATGCATAATACTATTTGAAATGCTAAATCTACTAATTTTTCCCATAATCATTAAACTTTTAAAGTTGTAAAAGTAAACTTTTATTTTTGAAATAATTAGAAAATGCAAAAGTTGCAATAATTACATTAAAATGTAAAGATTTCAACTAATAGCATTCAAATGCCAAATTCTCATATGTTGTATTTGGTAGGAAGTTTACCACAAAGTATAATTTAGCACAACAAATAGCATTATATTGGAGAGTGTTTTTTGCCCTCAAATACTAAAATTGCAATCGCCACTTTAAGTTGGCCATTCATACAGATTGATAATTAGCATCAGAGTATATTATCATCAAAATCATGAGCAAATCATAACTTTATTTAGAAAGAAATATTTGCGGGAACATAAATTAAAAAAAAAAAGCAATTTCATAACCTAATTAGCACCTTTAAATGATTAGGAGTTTCATCTTAGTTAAGAAGATACAGACAGCTGTTATTTTCCTTTTAAGGTAGAACAAATAAAATAAAATAAAATAAAATAAAATAAAATAATAATGAACATAAAGACAGTGAGTTTTTGGGAAGTTCACGGCCCCGAAATTCACACTCCCTAATAAGCTAATTAGCGGTTAGTTTATTTATTTATTTACTTTTTAAAGGGAAAATGTATACAGCTTAATTACCTATTTAGAAGTTAAACGAGTAAAAAATTACTCTCAAAGAATTAATTATTATCTTATAGAGAGAATCAAGGGCCAGATAAATCATGCCAATGAAAGTTAAAAGCAGAAGAAATGCACTCCGAAACTAGCTAGTGAAGGCAATTAGGTAGGTTAGTTAATTATTTTTAGTTTGTTCGGTCGTTTCTAAAAAAAAAGTCAAAAACCACCCCGGGCCCCTATTGTTAGCTATGAGATTGATGGCATTAGTTTGGGATAGCTTGTCCTTTGGGGTTGTATTTGTTCTATTCTTTATAACTTTTTCTTATCTTTTATTTTTATATTCTTGGAGAGGATGAAAACCAAGCTTCTATAATTATATATATATATATATATATATATATGGCCACTGAATAGTGGGGAAAAATACAAAATAATATACAAATTATATAAAATCATGAAGTCGGAATGTTGAATCAAAACTGAGGACCAATAATCCTTAAGATTAGCTCTTTGAATTATAAAGAATTCAGGATCTCATTGGTATGAGGATTGTCGAGGTTTGAACTGTGGTTTAGGTTAAACAAGTGTTTATTTGTTTAAAAAGTAAAAAGTAGTTTGAACCCAATCTAATGAAATTTTAGTGTTTGATTTAAAAAGAAAAGATTTAAGATTTGAGTCCTGACGTGATGTTTTAACCATTCTGAACCCTTAATTTTGTGGTTCCAACCACACATGGTTCAAACCTAAAAATTTATGGTTTGAACCACAATTCAAAACTTAGATGGTTGAAACCGAAAGTTCAAACCACCCTGATTTGAATCCTCATACTAAACAGACATACAATCTTCCCATCTTAGTGTTCTATGAATAGGGAGAGTCAAAAGAACTTCAATTATCTTTCACTTGGCAAACTATCTTCTTTACTTGTCTTACATTTCATTCCAATATTGTCTTCTTTGTTGAGTTGTATATTTTATAGGAAAAATGGCTTACTCAAAGGCTTTTATCCTGCTTGCTCTTGCATTTGCTGTTGTACTGTTGATCTCCTTGGAGGTCTCAGTGCATCATGAGTTCGCTGAGATTCGTGCTCGTGAGTTTCTTGTTTTCTTCCTCTAAATAGTACTTCTTACATGCGCGCGCACGCGCACACACAAATGCTCTAAAATGATAAGAATATGTCTAGTTACTACGTCAATCAAGTTGGTTACCAAAATTTTTGCCAACAAGGGGTATAATATATAGTGTGATTTATAACTATTGTAACTGGTTAAAAAATTTTTTTTTTTTAGGTTCTTATTTCATTTAGATTAATTTGGTGTGGTTGTTAGTTTTGGCCACCTCTTTCAGAAAAATGGTCGATGGATTTAAACACTGATTCATATCGGTCAATAATGATCAACTTAACAATTAAGTCAATCAATTGTTCACTGATTAACGCTATATGTTTACCTTATGTTGTGACATAGATACACACTTACACGTACATGCAGTATATATACATTTTTGTAAAATGAAGAGAGAGGGTAACTAAAATGCTGGTACATTATATAATGCATGCATATTGTATGTTATATGATACAACACTACTTTTCTTATTTTATTGCTCATTTAGTTCGCTGATTCGAGTTTTTAATTCGAGTTGAGATGTGACTTTATGTGAGAGCCTTTCACTGTAGTAAAAAAATTAGATGTGACTATTTCTAAGAGTTTTTTTACTGTAGCAAAACTTAAATTTTAAACTCAAATTAATAAAATGAACGTGGTAGATACTACGAAAATTGGCAAATGTGATGAGGCTAACTATGGCGACCGTTTCGGTGGACACGAGTCAGGACATAGTAGTACAAGCATGACTGGCCGTGGCCGTACTGGATCAAACATGCCTGGACATGGCTGCACAGGATCTGACATGCCTGGTCGTGGCCAACCAGGACATGACATGCCAGCTGGTCGTGGCGGTCAAGGATACGGCGGTGCAGAGCCAGAAAGTTGAACTTGATTTTCTTAACAAACTGGCAAGTACTTTTGCTATGGAGGATTTTGTGTCGATAATTTTGCAATGGCTTGTGTAGTTTGATAAACTCTCAAGTCTCAACCAATACAAGCAGGTTGTTAACTGTTTCAGTGTTTTCTTTGTATTGTTATGTTATGTTATAAGAGTTTCTACTACTCTTTTACGTATATTGTTATATATGTGATTCAGTTTGTTCTCTTCCATTTTGCCTTTAGCAACTCCATTAATAATAATAACAATAATAATTACATATGTACAATTAAAAAAATGTAAAGACTAAAGATCCTGGATCAAGGTACAATTTTCAAATAATTACACATTATATCAACCTGGAAAAATACATGTATATATATAGGATGAAAAATAATAATTATATCTACCCTGGAATTGGAAATGATAAATTTGCGACTAGCTACCATGCACGTCGTAAAAAAAGTTGACGAGATAATCACAAAGAGATTTCTTTGATGCAATGATATAAATCTCTGTCAAACCATACTAGTTAGGATGTTCACATCAAAAGATACAACAAAGAGGTTTTCAGTTTATTTCGTATCCCCCAATAATATCTGTTCCGGATTATTATTACTGTTGCCCTCCTAAACTTTAGAATTATTCGCAATTTATCTCTACACTTTAAAAACTCTTACTTTGTCATATAAACTTTAAATTATTACCACTTAAACTACTTTTATTGTAAACCTATTAAAAACAAATAAGAAAAAAAAATGAGAGAGAATAATGCAGTCACGTAATTTTTTTGCTTAAATTTATGTTAAAAATAAACAGATAAAAACCACTCACACTTAAACCTCCACTTTTTTTTGTCTTATTTTAAAAGAAATTACAATAAAAGTCTTAAGTAGGACAAATTCATAGTTTAGTGGGTAAAATGAGAGTTTTTAAAATTTAAATGGTAAATTAAAAATGCTTTAAAGTTCATTGGTAGCAATGAGATTAATCAAATTTTTTAAGTTACAAGACTTTTTAATTAATACATAAAATATAATATTTAAATTAACATTCTTTTTAATGGATGTGACATATCGGACAAATATGAAAAGGGACACAAGATCAATTGAATACAACAAAAAGGCACGTAGTTGCGTAAGCGTAAGGGTTCCGTGGTTTGCTTATGCACGTAGTTGAGATGTGAAATACTCGTGGACTGAACCCACCAAGTGGGGCAGGCAGACGTTTAGTTGTTAAATTCGTAAGATGATTCAAAAAAATACACATAAATTGAAAATAATTCTAAATCATAATTTTAAATTCATCAACTAAACGTCTATAATTTTACATCTTAACTCTAGATCACGGCCAACCGCACAATCTCACTATTTGTTTGATAAAGTCAACCATAATGGCGTACTCCTTTATAGTCTTTTCGTGCACACCGTTTCGCAACAACTGAGGGAAGAACAACCAATTCCCCGTAACAACCAAGAACCCCAATGCCAACCCGCCGGAGACCGCCCCGCTCAGCCGCCATTTCTCACCGACTACCCTCTTCACCGCCATCTCCACCGCCGTGCACACCCCTTGAAGCACAAAGAATATGGTCACCTCCCAAGTGGGCCGGGCCCGCGTGAAGTAATAGTACATGGCCTCGTGCATCAGGCCCGACACCGTAAAGGCCCATAAGACACCTGCTAAATGGGCCCACTTTGGGCCGATTATTGGGCTGAATAAACTCCGCACCGGGTGGAAAGCTGTGGGCTTTAGGATGCTTGAGACCATGAGGTTCCACCTTCGGCCCCAAAAGTCTTGGAGTGAAGTTGTGAGGTATGGCTCGTTGAACTGCGGTTCGAGCTCGAAGCCCAATAGGGTTTGGGCCGGAAGGGCTGCGAGGGCTAGTGTAATCTCTATGCCCAAATACATATGACAACAGTACAACAATAGAGTTATGTAGGAGGGTAAATATGGTCTATACTCATACGCTTTGACAATCAATGCCAGTAAAATTACCTTTATAGCCATCAAAATTGACCTGGGCACTTTGGAACCAACCTTAGGAACACTAGTTTGCGGGTTCAACAACATGGGTTTTTCCCACTTTTGGTCAGATGGGTTTTTGGTACTTTTTGTGATGTTGGGCTTTTCTACTGTTGGAGTTGACTTTTGGGCATGTGGGATTTTGTTAGTACTTTCTTTGGTCATGAGATTTTCTACTTTTGGGGGTGATTTTGGAGGTGGGTTTTGTATGATTTTGATGGGAAGACAAGCAATGGAGATGAAATGGAAGAGGTTTGTTGGGAGAGGAGAGAGAGGGGCTTGGTCAAAGGAGAAAAGGAGGAGCTTTGAGAGGCCGAGCCAGACTAGAAAGAAGGCTGTGGGACCACCAAGATGCAAGGAGTGGAGATCCAAGGGGAGAATAATGAAGATGTAAAAGAACGGAAGAAGAGAAATTAGCCTTCTTATTCCTTTTGGAATTCTTGATGATATGTAGTAGCAATAGCAAAGGCTTGTTATGGCTATAATCCATACCTTGATGAAGCTCCTGATTTCTTCATCCATTTGATCTCTCTCTCTTTCTCTCTCTGTCTATATATATATTAACAGGTGATATTTGATATTGGATCCGTTTCTTGAATGAGTTGGGTGGTTGATGAACTTATGGCTAGCATTATTCAATAGATAAAATGCGAGAAATAAATAAAATAAAAGTTTTGGAAAAATGGATATTTTAGGACATTCTAGTCACTACCAATGGATGGAGAAACGTGTGCAACTTTTAGGACTAAAAAGTCGTTTCCATCATTGATGACGCGTTTAATAACAATGATGGTTGGTCACGATCATAATAAGACCAGTCAATTTTAGACTTATAACTGTTTATTTTGTTGATTTAAATTTTTAATTTTAATTAAAATGTGATTTTATATGAGAAATTTTTACTGTAATAAAAAAAATTAAATGTTATTATTTTTAAGAATTTTTTATTATAATAAATTTTAAATTTTAAATTTGAATAGATGAAATGAATAAGTATGTATTGTCTTTTTTTCTGAATTAAAGACTAAAAATATTGAATCCTACATTGTTTATTTTACATTAATTTTTCATTAGAATTTGTAAATGGGAATCTCAACCACAAATCTGTTTCCAGCATTAGCCGACAGAAAAAAGAAAAAAAAAAAGAAAAAGAAACAGCGAGAGAGAGAGTAAAATAAAATGAGGGGCATATTCGGAAAGCAATAAAGCTAGCAGTAAAATATCAAAAAAAAAAAAAAAAGAAAAACAAAAAATTTCCTACCTTTGAAGTTTGAACATGGCATTAACAATATCATTCAAAACTCATGTGATTTCAGCATCATCTGTTAATTCTATAATATAGTTTAAGCAGAAAATGAATCCTAGATATCAAAGAAAAGCAACCTATTAACAATGAAACAGCGTGTTAATGATGAGTCGTCACGTTCATAATAAGTGCAAGTCAATTTTGGACTTGTATTGTCTTTTTTTTCTGGTTTAAAGCTATAAATATTGAATCCCACATTGTTAATTTTACATTAATTTTTCATTAGAATTTGTAAATGGGAATCTCAACCACAAATCTGTTTCTAGCATTAGCCGACAGAAAAAAGAAAAAAAAAACAACGAGAGAGAGAGAGTAAAATAAAATTATGGGCATATTCGGAAAGCAATAAAGCTAGCAGTAAAATATCAAATAAAAAAAAGTAAAACAAAAAATTTCCTACCTTTGAAGTTTGAATATGGCATTAACAATATCATTCAAAACTCATGTGATTTCAGCATCATCTGTTAATTCTATAATATAGTTAAGCAGAAAATGAATCCCAGATATCAAAGAAAAGCAACCTATTAACAACGAAACAGACGTGTTAATGATGAGTCGTCACGTTCATAATAAGTGCAAGTCAATTTTGGACTTGTATTGTCTTTTTTTCTGGTTTAAAGACTATAAATATTGAATCCCACATTGTTAATTTTTCATTAGAATTTGTAAATGGGAATCTCAACCACAAATCTGTTTCCAGAATTAGCCGACAGAAAAAAGAAAAAAAAACAGCGAGAGAGAGAGAGTAAAATAAAATTATGGGCATATTCGGAAAGCAATAAAGCTAGCAGTAAAATATCAAATAAAACAAAAAAAGTAAAACAAAAAATTTCCCACCTTTGAAGTTTGAATATGGCATTAACAATATCATTCAAAACTCATGTGATTTCAGCATCATCTGTTAATTCTATAATATAGTTTAAGCAGAAAATGAATCCCAGATATCAAAGAAAAGCAACCTATTAACAACGAAACAGACGTGTTCATGAACTCTCCAGTCCAAACCTACTACGAATGGTAATCCTTCTATCTATGTGCATCATCTTTGCCGAAAATCCAAAAGAACCAGACATGTTAGTGTTTCATTCTATCAAAAATCGCGCCAAGGCCTACGAGGAGACAATGTCGACGTACTTGGTTATTCATCGGGTTCGAGCCAACCAGCCGAGTGCGTGCTCGAGTATTCTAAATTAGGACCAAGAGCAAAATCCATACCAGATGATCGAGCATATAATCTGCTCCGTGTGTACTCAAAATCATCTCTTGGAGAATGCTGCATTGTTGATGCTTCTATTGGATAAGAAGGCTCGGCTACTGATGGAGTCGGATTTCTGCAAGAATGCGAGTTCAATGTGAGTGATCCCATCTGGCTGTGTCCAGATTTCTGGCCTGCTACACAATTGCTTCCCGTGGAATGCAAATCCTGTGACCTGATATTAGATTCCTCTTTGTGCTTCTCTTTATTTCCATTAATATAGTCTCTATTGCCAAAGCGATTTCTTGCACTATAATGATCAGTTCCATGCTCAGCAATATTCATGTAATGCCTTCCAAATTTGTCATCCGAAGTTCTTGCCCGTTTCCCCCGAAAGGTGGTTCCCGACATGGTAGGTGAAGCAGGCACGTGATTCCTGAAAGTGTGATGGCTACGTCCACCAAGCTCCGTGTGTGGAGGACTCATCTCTGATTTGCGTTCTGATGCGGTGATAATTTCAGTGGCCCTTTTGCGGGACCCGGACAGTGGATTGGCCAGCATGCAACAATGACCGGTAGGGTCGGAAAAGGAAACCTAAATTGAAATCTCTTTGGCTCTCTCTCTCTCTCTCTCTCTCTCTCTATATATATATATAT